AGCAGTTTGACGAGGCCTGGTGCCGCCAAGCGCTTCTGATAGCACAGAACGATTATTGATTACGGTTGTTTTGAATCGGATATGATGTTGATGATGACGAAAATTGGATGCGAATGAGCCGATATAAGATAATCTAAAATCTGTATAGCCATTTGATTTATTCAGCAAAAACACACAAAAGTAACAGGAATTCTAAAAAGTTGGAGTGAGTTTAGAACCACTGCAAACACAAAACTCGAAATAAAAATTAAAAAGCAGACAAGCTCAAAAAAATCATTGAAGTCTTTTTTTTTGGAGTTTCATACATGTGCTAGAATAAATTTCAAAGGTAATCGCGAGCAAGGGTTTTTATAGATACTTGCGCTTACTGGAAAAAACATCTTGGATACAAAAAATATGCAAAAAAACTACTGTGGCAAGACTGCGATATACTTTTTCCTAACCTATAATTTATATAGCCAATAAATAAAAAGAGCTTGAAAAGATTTATTGAAGTCGAGGAAAAGGAAATAACAGAGGTTTTGAGAAAATATGAAGACGGAAAATTTTGAAATTTCTTGGAGAATTGGAAAACTCAAGTCATTCTTCTTGTTGTTAGCATGCTCAAAAGAATGTAGTCAGAATTTTTGTTGCTGTAAGTATTCGCCCGACATGTTCAAACTGAGGCCTATAAACTTTTTAACTTCGATCAGCCGAAACCAAAGTCTGAAGAGGAGGTTAGAAAAACATGTGTTTCTGGAACAGTTAGAAGTTGTGAAGTGGTGAGCTGGATGAAGTATGGTGAGGTCAGTTTGGAGGGAGGTTTGGGTATATTCTGTTTAAGCAGGAAATTATGAGTAGGACTTTAAATGCGAAAGGGATCTTCTGGTGCCGCGGGTGAGGAATTTCTCAGCAGGGAGTTTGAGTGGAAAAATTTTCGGAGCAGGTGCATCTGCAACAACCTGCTCAAGACTTCTACTATGCAGTTAATTTAAAATAGATTATTTTTTGGGAGGCTAAGGAAATGAGTTCGTTAAAATCGTTCAAGGTGGTTAAAGATGCCTTTGCACTGTCTTGGAGGATATGTTTTTTTTCCAGTCCATATATTTCAAGTACTGTGGGACAGATATTCCGAGGTCTGGGATGCTGGTGGTAAAAATTTAAAGCGCTTTAGGCGAAAAATTTTTGAAGGCAAACTGAGGAGAGTATGATGATATGATGATTATTTTGGAGCATTCATTTTTGTGAAATCCGTTATAAGGCGTAGAGCGGCTTTTTGAACGACTGCAAGTTTGCCCAAAGACTTAAAATTGGGGCCATGCTGGGTATGCGTAATCAAAAAGTCAAGCAAAGAAACAAAAACATCGTCAGATTAAAGCAGGGGCGGATCTAGGACTTTCTCGATGGTGGGGCGGGTTTTCCATTTTTAGGTCGACTAAATTGATTTTACGAGCTCTCCCAAATCACTAAAACTACCCTGTTTTTGCGAAATTTTGCGCCGCCGAGGAATTGTTAAACAACAGGCTAAAAACGGCGTTTTGGAAACTTTCTGGACATTTTTAACGAAAAAAATCGTGTTTTTTAGCGCGCGCTTTACCCTCAAAAATAGTATATATTGTCGCCAAAATCGCCTTTAGAAAAATTCTAAGGTCAGCCAGACAAAAAAGGATTTCTTAAAATAGTACCAAACGGGGACCCTTTGGGTATTCAGGAGTCGAATTCCAGAGGAGGGTCTGTCTCTCCCACTAAACCACTACTGAGTTAATTTTAATTTCCAAAAATCTTCGTGATTGACATTTGTTTTCTTAAAATTAATCCTATGTAAGAAAATTGGATCAACAAGTAAAATTGCTATTCCGTTGGGAAATCTAAAAATTAAAATATACTTTGGAAACTAGAAGTCGATCTCGTTTTTCGTGACTTTTACACCTATTAACTGAAAAAGAAATAAAATGTCAAAACAAGAAAAAAATCAAATTTGAGCGCGAACAAATTTCATGAACTTTTCCTGAGAAAAAAAAAACAAACAAAAAATCACCAAGACCTATAAAAGAGTCTTCGCCAAGTCCATCGTCTCGTAATTACTACGATAAAAGTAATCAGAACTTTTATTAGCGAGTTGGGCTAGAAAAAAAAAACAGATTCTTCTCGCTTGAGGATTTTGCTCGTGTATTTACTTGCTTGTGTAATTAGTAGACCCAGACAAGTCTCTCCTATATACGTCATTGCATGAGCACACGAACATACATAATTTATACATACAATTCGGAAACTAAACGGGCGAACTTTCAATCGAAAGTGGTAAAAATCCCTCTTTATAAATAACATTTAAGAATACTAAATTGGGTGCTGAAAGATCAGAACGCGAACTAAGCCGACAAGAAGCGAGATGAAGACCAATGAGACAAAAATGTATACCTAAATACATGTATAGCGAAAAAAAAAAGTTCGGTCGGCTCTCAAACCTCAGAACCTTTGCACCCGCAAGCAGACGCTTTACCAATACACCAAGTGAGCGACTACACGAAAAAAAATTATTGTTACAAATAAAGGTAGGTCAATTTTTCACTTGAAATGTTTAGGGCAAAAAAGTTTAGTTAAGACCTTTGCTCTCGCAAGTGTATAACAATTATTTACACAGAGGCGAAGTTGCACTTCGCATACAAAAGCAAAAATATGACTGATAAAGCTACTGGAAAAAACTGAATGGGTAACACTTTGAGTCTACAAAACTATTTAAGTGACGCACGCCAATTATGAGCCTACAAAATTGCTAAGTGACTCAAGCCGGTTATGGCGCATTAGCAGAACCAGTCAATTTGAAAAAAAAAATTACCAAATAACATGCCTTAATTTATGAAGCGGACGCATTTTAACTAGTACACGGAAAAATTCATTAAAAACATCCGACCCTGCCCAGTTTTGAACCCCCTTATTTTCTTGCTGTTCTCCTTCCCTACCTCTACGCTACAGAACCATGATACCTTGAAGCTAAAGTACTTTTTGCAATATAATAGTCTGTGTTAATATCCTTAGCATTGGCTGTACTGAATAGCTAGACCAAAGGAAAACACTTTCAAAATGAACACTATGTCGCAACAATATTTACGACTTAGGTTGGAAAAAAAAAGAAAGTTCATACTATAACACAAGCTATGCTTGTGTAAAAAATGTCGTAATAAGTTTCCACGTCCATCTGTTTCTAGCTATTTTGCTATCTTTTAGTAAGATCGGTAGTTAAGTTGGCCTCTTCGCAGAATAAAAATTTTGCAAAAATAGATGGTAAAAATTGTGATTTCAAGAAAAAAGTTTCAAAAAAAAGCTGAAAATTGTCCAAAAAAATGAAATGGTTTATTTGCTTATAAATAATTTAAATTTTTGTCTAAACACTTAAATTGACCATTAACCTTTCGATCGGGAGTTCAAAATTTCATCCTGCTCTATCTTCGCTGCGATTTCAAACTCAACCATAGCGTTTGCATGTGCAATCATTCAGACAATTCAGGACACTTCAATTTAAAAAACGGCAATATTCATGCGTTCCATCTCGGGCAGGATATCAGCAACGTAGGTGGCAGCCATTTTTTCACCATGACACTTAAGCAATTCAAAAAAATCACTTCTGTCAAGGATGATTTGTTGTGTTAGAACAGGTTTTCATCAAAAATCTAAAGGCAGAAAATTTCATATGTTAATGGCGAGCATACTGTATAGCCAATTTTGAGTGATCTTGTTATTTATCCCCTTAGCTCTATTGGAGAAGGTGGGGTTCATTAAAAGGTACACTATACGTCTTAATCTTTAATTAGTTAAATTTTTTATATACCTTGAAATTAATTAAAGCAATTTTAATGTTTTGACAAAAAATTAAATTATTTACTAACAAAACAACATTCCAATTTTTTTTGACAATTTTCAGCTATTTTCTCTTCTTGAAATAACAATTTTTACCAGATTTTTTTCTGAAAAAAACCTTGCCATAATCAAACATTCAAATTATTTGTTTTTACCTATGGAAAATTGACATATTCAGGCATGAATTCAAGTCCCATCATTTGTTTTTCATTTAGACTATCTTCGCTCATTTCTTCCACTGCAATAATTTAAAGTTTAAATGAAAACTTTTAATAATTTGAAATATTTATTTAAACAGACATCACTGATTACTAGATACCACAGAAGGATTTTTAACAAGATCATTTAAAGCAAATTTCATTTTAACAATTTATCATTTAGTTCACTGAGAAAGTGCGAAAATGGTGTCCAGAAAAGTGCAAAGAAAGAAGCATTTATTTTACTGGTTTGAGGCTTATATTTAGAACCTTTTAAAAAGGCAGGATATTTGTTTAAAAGGATCGTTCCGCCGTATTTGATGAGTCCGATTCAAAAACTTGTTTTGAAGTGTGGTCCCGCCAGACCACTTGAAAGCAGACTTTGTGTATGAAAACAAAAAGAAAACTTGTAATCATTTCTGAATCAAGCTGGGGGCTATTCTCATGATAGAGGGAACAAATGATGGAACATTCTCAACTATCGGAATCGTTATGTGTTTCTATTTATTCAATGGTTTTTTGTACTAAATCAAAGTCAAAATAAGCAGAAAATGAAGTTAAGCAGTACAGCTAAGCTTTGCTGTAGAATTCGTGCCTGAAATTTTTTCTTTGCTATCCGATACTTTTTTTGAATCGATATCCTTTGGGTAATTAGTGGTTCCAATGCATCTTAGAGCGACAAAATTTGATAGAGGCGACGCTTCGCTTCGCAAACACTAGCGAGAACACGACAAAAAGCATCTCTATAAAGTGCAATAAGAAAAAGAAATAATCCTCGAATTAGTAAAAATTCGGTTACGTCTCGAAATCAGTCTGTGACCTAAAAATTACGAGTGTCACGCACTAAAATCTCAGCCACGAACACTTAATAAATCACAGCTATGAGCCACAAACAAAGCAGAGGTCACATGCTATGAAGCTTCCAATTCTACAGATCGTGATTATAACAAAAATGCCACCAAATAAACTTATTAAATAGTTTCATATTGGAAATGTGCGAGGACTAACGCGGCAGCGGACGGATTACACTATATTCACGAATGTGGATCAACCATTTATCCCATCGCCAGGTGATGGTGAATGAAACAAACGAAAATGATCCTGGGACCGGCTCAAATCCTAGACAGTCACATCTACTCTCGAGCAAAGACTACTACCCAACAGTGGAACAAGTGGTATGGGCAAGCGACACTGATGTCCATGCCTTGATTGGGAACATGAAAGAAGACGCATTGTCCTGTTTACTACGCGAATGCATATCCGAACTGAGAATAGCTACACGTAAATCATCGGTTCTCGACGATGTGTCCAAGTCTTTAGCGGTGCTGTCTACCGAAATGCTTCCAAGTCTAGAGAACAAATTAGAAAGTGTTAACGAAAAAATCAGCTTGCTGAAATCAGCAGATTGTGACAAAGTAGTTGCGCTGGAGAATTCTATGACAACGCTGCAAATGCAACTTAACAAAACTCCCGAAAACCTTAAAGCAGTCATGAAACAAGTGAAAGAGGTTTCTGCAGAAAATGACGCCACTTCTTACCCCAACCGAGTGCATCCAAATGAACAAAAATCAATCGAAATTCGTGTCAGAGGTATTCCAGAAAATGAAACCGGAGACCAACTGGCAAAAACAAAAGCTGATATGGAAGCGGTGGAAAGCATTCTCCTTGGAATCAAGGCAGAAACATCCGATGTACGACGCCTAGGCGCGCGAAGTCAAACAAAAAGCAAAACTGGGGGTGTAGCTATTGAAGACGTTAAGCAACCTAGAGTACTGCTCGTTCAAGTTCCTAATGCATGGCAAAGGCGACTGATTCTATTGTCGTTACCGAAATTGAAAACTATGGGGATGGCAGCGTATTCAATTCAAAGGAGCTATCGAAAAAGGACTTGGAAACAGAAAACCAAATTTTTATTAAAAGAAAAAAGTTCATCGGTGATGGCATAGAGAGAAGAAATCTCAGAATCAGAGATCTGAAACTCGAAATGAAAACACAGGGAGAATGGAAAGTCATGGAAAACTGACTAGTCTATTATCCCAAGGCAACCGATTCTGAACTAAAAATGCTAACGGTCAATGCTCGAAGTTGAGCATGGAACGCCGAACACTTCTGGCAAACGCAATACTTTTTCTAGATTATGATGTCATTGTATCAGTGAGACTAGGCTAACAAACGACGTCCCTGTCCAAGCATTGTTTCTTTCTAACTACTCTATATATAGACGCGATCGTACAGATGACTCTGCAACTAAACATGGCGGGTTACTCATTGCAGTTTAAAAAAATCGTTTACTACGCACGCTTCAAATATCAACATCACCGACTGCTGTGCTTGCCACGTTGCGCTGGGCACGGATACTCTTCTCGTTTGTGCAGTGTATTGCCCACCTCGGTGCAGCCCATACTGTTGGTTAACAGATAAACATCAACAACTGATTCGCGGTATTAAAGAAGCGAAGTTGCAGTTTGCATATGATCACCTCATCATATCATTGCTGGCGATATGAACTTGAGTGATACTGACTGGCACACAATGTCATCGACGGATGACACAGAACTTGATGGTTTTGTCGACCTTGGAGTTCAGCAAATAGTTCCTATCGAGGAAAATGGCCGATCACTTGATGTTATCTTGACTGACCAACTGCTGCCAGTGCTGGACTGTGTTGTGAAATATAGTTTCCGCACACTTTATTACACTAATGGAAGATACTTATCGGACCACGAACCATTCTGTCTTACACTTGAGTTCCAATTGCCAGAAAATCAAAACCAACGCATCGTACCTCATCTGTCATATGCCTCTCTAGACTGGGAGCTACTGCACCAAGAGATCATGGTTTATCCTTTATATCCTTTTTGTTATAGCAATGTCAACTTTCTATTGAGTCAATGGTGTGAGTGGATCTTCACCATTCTTAGAAGAGTTGTTCCTCGTCCTACATCACACCGGGCAAAACTGGCACCCTGGGTATCACAAGAGACCTCCAACCTGTTAAAGAAAAACTGAACACCCTCCGAGAGGCAGCGAAGAAGAACTCAAAACGCAATGGAAAAATTTTATCAATGGAACAAGTTAATGCTGCACTAGCCGAAGACAAAAGTATTTATGAGGAAAAAACTATCTCCGGTCGTAATTTGACCACCATTTATAAATACTTTAAGTCCATTCGCAAGCCGCTCCATGTGCCGTCCAACATTCATTGGCTGGAGAAAACTGCAGAGACTGCCGAAGCTAAGGCTACCTTGTTCAACTCCTATTTCCAAAGCGTTTTTACGCATTCTCCCGTGAACCAAACCTTGAATGGCTTCTACGATGCTGACAGTGGACCAGCAACGAAGGTGGAGAGAGATAACAGTAGACACTGTTTCACATTGCTTGAATAAACTGAAACTCATTAAAGCAACAGGTCCTGATAGTATTCCCAACCAATTACTGAAAAGTGTCTCTTGTTCTCTTTCCAAATCGCTGCATCTAGTTTTCAAAACTTATCTCAACAAAGGGAAATTTATTGATGAGTGCAAAATTTCACAAGTCGTGCCAATACACAAGAAAGGAAATAGTTACGAACTACCGACCGATATCACTGCTCAGCTCAGAGGCAAAAGATTTTGAACGCATTATTTTTGATACGCTAAACGAAAAGCTCAGATCGAAACTTTCTGAACTCCAGTATGGTTTCAGACGAAATAGGTCAACTGTTGTTCAGCTCTTCAACTACGTCGACAATCTTCATCGATGCAGTGACTCCCTGGGTACGAAAAACCTTGCCGCCCCTGTACGTCGACTTCGGAAAAGCATTCGATAAAATTAAACATGCAATATTATTGAAGAAACTGTGGGCTACGGGAATATATGGCAAACTTTTTGCGCTCAACAAAGACTACCTGACTGGAAGAAAGCAATGTGTGAAAGTGAGCAATATTCTGTCATCAACACTCCCAATCTACAGTGGTGTCCCACAAGGCTCTATAATTGGGCCCTTGTTGTTCTTGGTATACATCAATGACCTCCCTACGGGCTTTGAATCTGTGCAGAAATACCTTTTTGCTGATGACTTCAAATCACTAGAGAATATCAATTACTCTTTCTCTTCTTTCAGCGTGGTGCGACGCAAATTCAATGAGTGTTAATATCGACAAAACCCGCATCCTTGTTTTCAAAGGCAATTTTAATGAATGTTTGTTGAAAAATGAACAGGTGCCTTTTTCTCAGAAGTCGATCACCAGTTAAACTGGCATGACAACATCAAGCTGAGGTGCCAAAAAGCATTGGGTTGCTTTTTTTCTGATCAAACGGAATCTCCCCATCAAAGCGAGTCAACCTAAAAAACTCAATGTTTACTGTGTTATGGTTGTTCCAATACTTTGTTACGCATCACAAGTATGGTACCCAACAAAGACAGATCTGATACGCATAGAACTTGTACAGAAACGAGCTACACGCTGGATTGTCGACACTGAGCTGTCATACGTTGATCGATTTGTCAGACTCAAATTACTACCACTTAGCTTGTATATCGAAATGTACGACATATTATTGTTCGCCGCTATCATCAACAACAACTAGGACTTCGACTGGTCCCAACATATCTTGTTCAACAATGATCATGGATATTCAACCAGGTCCACTGCTTGTAGATTCCAGGTGCCAAAACTTCGTCTCTCCAAATCAAATCAAAACTACTGGGTGCGATGTGCGCGCCTCGCCAACCACCTAAGTCATTCAATTGACCTTTTCTGCATCACTGGCCTCAAAAGAAAACTTTCCGATATCTACTGGAATTATTTCTATCTCCAATACAGTGTCGAAGACTCCTCTAGTTGGCGCATGTTCTGCATCTGCAAAAACTGTTTAATGTGCCCTAGACTCCTGCTTTAGTTCGCTTTGTTTGGGCGGAATCCCATCGGTACCAATCCGTAAATTCCTTTATTATTATTATAAATAAGTGATAAGTTTTATTAGCGAGTTGGGTTAGAAAAATGAAGTTCGTACTAATACACTACGTTTGGCAAGCTCACTAGTGTAAATTGGTTAGTTTATTTTGCAATCTATCAATTTCAATTGCCTGGATTTGTTTGCTCAATTTGAAATTGTTTTCGTGATAGGAACGCAACCAATTAGCTATAGTATTGAGGTTACCACTTAAGTTTTCTACAAAAGAGAATTATCAACACAGAGGCAAAGCTGCGCTTCGAAAACACTAGCCAGAACACGACAAAAAAGCAGCTTTATTAAGTGCAATAAAAAAAAGATATAAATAAGCCTCGAACCAGTAAAAAAAAAGTGGCACCAATATTTGCGACTTAGGTTAGAAAAAAAAGAATTGTGGTTGTAAAACACTAACGCTCACTTAAGTTCGCCAGTGTTAAAATATCAACTTGCTGGAAAAATTTAAAAACTACTTGCTTGTTTATGATTTTTATATGAACCCAAAAGTAGTTTTCGGCTTAATTTCTATAGGTCCCAACGTACATAGGACCCAAAATGAAAATCAGTCGCATTTTTTTTTTTCATTTTTAATTCCGATTGGTTGAATTTTGAGCCAAAGAATTGATGGTTTATTGTACAAAGAGCATTAAATCAAACGGCAGATTAGTGACCACCGCAGTCGCGCCCACGTGTTGCGAGCGTGCCAACAGAGAATACAACTCTAAACAAATTTTAGAGCCGGTGCCCTTAAAATGAGAATCGGCTAAAGTAGTCCTTGACCAGTTGGAACCTTTGAATAATTATCTTTTTCCGGAACTGTACTTCTATACGAGGTTTTAACCTAACCATAAATTTAAACGAGAACCAAAGCAGGTTATCATTTAGACAACTACTATATTAACCAATCAGAGTCGAGATAAGAAAAATAATACAAAAATTATTCTTGTGTACATTTTTTTAATTTCGATTCGGATTATTTAATAAAGTATTTTTCAATTTAATGACATAAATGTCTTCTTAGAAGGTATTTGTCTACTTGTTGCTATGTTATCAAATTTACTGACCCTGCATAGTCTTGAAACGGCGAGAGAGACGCAGGATTTGTAGTCTTCTGGGTTGCGCCTCACCAATTCGTGAATCAGACTTGTGGCTGCGGTCACTACACCCTGAAAAAAATGGGATGTTACATCGAATGGTTTCCAAAAAAAAGAAATACTTCTCCAGCGTGATTTCCACCTCTCAAAAACATCAATAGTGTGGTAATTTTTAGGCTACACTCAACAGTATTTGTACGGCTATAATGCAAGGCCAAATAAGATGGGCTTGGGGGTGTTTAGAAAAGGGCTCAATTTGATAAGAATTGAAAGTGTAGTTATATAACAAAAATTGAACATTTACAGCGTTTAATTCGATGTAACTATTCTCACAAACAAAAAAAACATTGATGGTTGATGATGCTCTCAACCCGAGAAAATGTATACACATATTTAGATGTAAAAATTTGCGATCAAGTATTGACTTAGATTGTCAATGAAATGAAGCCCACGGGATCGATCAAAACCTGAAAAGGAACCATTTTTCCTCCTTTATTTAGCTCACTCCTTACCAAATGGTGATCATTAAGCAGATGAACCACTCTTGTCGCCCATTCTCCGTGAGGAACAGCCTCGGGACACGTTCTGAGGAGTTTCAGAAGACAGAGTGACGCACTCTGCTTCACATCTGGACTGACATCACCGGAAGTCAGCAGTTTAGGGATGTCTGGACCCAGTGACATGGCCATCTCTTTGCCGGCTATGTTTGCAATGCACTGCAGCGCCAGGTTGATGTGGATTGGCTGTGCAGACCCGAGGTCGTTCTTGATGGACTGAACTATCAATTTGTTCAGCTCATGGTTCTGGTTGTTCAGTAATACTGAGATGTACAAATAACCCTGCAACAAATTTCAATCAGTTGGTTGACTGTTTTTGATCAAAAAGAGATCAAATTCTTTTCAAAATTCATCCAAAGTTCGAATAATAATCCAAATAACCATACCAAGACCAACTAAGCTTTGAAAGAAGTAGTCGGCAGCTCTATTAATTCCTTACTGTGTTTATTGTATTTTATAGAAATATTCTTTAGATCAACGAAACTTCTGAATTAATAATCTCTAGCTATATTTTAGGTCGCATTGACTTTAATTCGACTTACAATTTGTTTTTCTGAATACTTGTTGGAGCTGAGTAAGTTAACAGCCTCCATGTGTCCGAAGTCGATATCATGTCCTAGGAGAAAAATGAAGAGCAACTTGCAGACGTATTTCTTCTTCTGGTATCCGTCAAGTGTCTTGTCTCCTTTGAACTTCGATCTGATGTTTGCCAATTCTTTGTTGATTCGTTTCACTTCTGCCTCTTTGCTTTTGCAGTTTCTGATGTCGGAGATGAACACTGCCAGACCTCGCATACCTTCGCCTTTGACAGTCGGCATCGCCAAGTCATTCAAAAAGTCCTTCGCTCCTTTCATCTGCAAAAGGGATACAGTTTCAATAATGAAACAAGACAGTCGGTGACTGTGAAAGTAGCACAAGGAAAAACAGCGCACGATTAAGCAAAAGAGTATCACCCTTCAAATAAAAGTTGAAATTAATTGTAGCACGTGACTTGCGTGAAAAAACGCACCCTATGCCAAAGTTTCTCCCCATCACTGGGGGTAATCGGAACATTTTCAATAACAGGTAAACTAAACTTCGATATTATAGGTTTTGAAGATGGTCACAACTGGTAATATGGGAAAAGTATGTCCCAGGATGTCACTGAACAATTAGACATTTGCAATGAGCTTTTCGGGCGCCAAAAATTGCACGTTTAATCAATGGTTACAAGAAACTGGGCCGAATATTACTATGTATGCCTTACCGATAAGAAATGAATTCATTTTGCGAACCAAAAACACTACACAACTTTTTTGAAATTAAATCTCAAAGTCGCACAAGACGCAAAAATTAACAAGTATAGCTAGTTGTTAAGCAAGTAGCACAGAATGTTCCGACCAAACTGACAACGGGCCCAGCTAAAGCTGGAGGTACCTGTTTGATATTTTTTGTACTGATGTGGGATAAATGGGTAATTTCAAAATTGGACTTTACCCACATCCTTTCTATTAAAATGAGTGTAATTTTTTGGAGAAATTGGACTTTTCCCACAGGCATAGCATTTTTCTTACAAATTTCACGCAAAACGGTTCTTTTGATTAAACCCTTAATCTCAGATTTGATAGGATAATTTTGAGAAGGAAAAACTCCTTGGTTGCTAAAAACGGTCATAAGTTCAAAAACTAGACTTTCCGCAGGACATAAAATTTTCTACAAGAAGAAGGTCGTGGTTGCTTAAGTAAGAGAAGGTTCTCAAAACCTGGTTTCCCGACTGAATACGAAACCAAAAAAATTGGCTCGAGAACAGTCTAGGGTCACTTTTTTGCAAATCGAAAAAGTAGCTTTTAAGAAAAGTGAACAACTGTTCCAAAGCGTCTCGAAAAACTCAACTCCATTCATTTTTATAATACCTATTTTTATGAAATAGGAATTTAAGAACAGTAAATTTAAACAAAGGCGTTTTTTTTTAAACAAAAATTGGTTTCAAAAAAATAAATATACATTTGCGAGTTTTGCAGTCTAACTTTACAGTTTTTTTTAGAAAGTGCGATTGAATTAAGAGCCAAGAGCGTTAATTGCAGTTTAAAAGACGTTAAAATAGGGCGTTAAAATTCAAGAAGAACTTAAGTTGGGAGGCGAGCTTCTCAGCTAATTTAGTCTGAAAATCGAAAACATTCTTTACACTTTTTCTTTACACTGAGAACATTTTTTTTGGGTCCGAATCTCTACCAATAGACTTCAGAATGATACCACAGACGAAATTGGCTGGAAATAATGAAAACGGACCTTAATCCATAGTTAGAAAGAATGGAATAAGAAACTTTTTCAAAAAACCATGGGATGTTGCGGAGCTTCATATCACTTGCGAAGCAGACCTGTAACCCTTAAATTAAAACTGAACTAGCGTGTACCGCACCTCCGGTGCTTCGAATTTTCCACAGCTCAAAAAACTATTCTTTGAGTGTACTCTAACAGCACCCAATTACAGGGTTCGTAATTAAAAATTTTGCAAAGTTTTTTATATAAAACTTCACAAAATTTTATGGTTCTTCAAAATTTGTATAAAAAACTTTGCAAAATTTTTAATTACGAACCCTGTAGTTGTGTACTTTCAATGATTGCGAATATTCCACTTAAAAAAGACTGCTCAAGTTTTGTTAGTTTTCTGGTTATCAAAAAATACCTCTTTTAGAAAGTTTAAGGTGAAACTCAAAATTTGAATTTCCCAACGTTGTAGTTGGGTACTGTAAGGTTTCTCTCAGGAGTTGCAAATCTTGCGTCCAAATGCGACTGCTCAATTGCTTTCAGTTTCCCAGATGTGACGTTTCTAAATTCATTATTAACTTAGATATAAAAAAATTGTCGCAAATTTTTATGGTTTTTCAAAATTTGAATTAAAAAATCGATTGAAAAGTTTTCGAAATTTGAAGTTACTCTCAGGATTTGCAAATCTTGAGTCCAAATGCGACTGCTCAATTGCTTTTAGTTTCCCAGATATGACGTTTCTTAGTTCATTTAAAATTTTAAACTTATATAAAACTTCACAAAATTTTATGGTTCTTCAAAATTTGTATGTTTAAAATTTTAAATGAACTAAGAAACGTCATATCTGGGAAACTAAAAGCAATTGAGCAGTCGCATTTGGACTCAAGATTTGCAAATCCTGAGAGTAACTTCAAATTTTGTAAAACTTTTCAATCGATTTTTTAATTCAAATTTGGAAAAACCATAAAAATTTGCGACAATTTTTTTATATCTAAGTTAATAATGAATTAAGAAACGTCACATCTGGGAAACTGAAAGCAATTGAGCAGTCGCATTTGGACGCAAGATTTGCAACTCCTGAGAGAAACCTTACAGTACCCAACTACAACGTTGGGAAATTCAAATTTTGAGTTTCACCTTAAACTTTCTAAAAGAGGTATTTTTTGATAACCAGAAAACTAACAAAACTTGAGCAGTCTTTTTTAAGTGGAATATTCGCAATCATTGAAAGTACACAACTACAGGGTTGGGAATTTCACGAATTAATTTGTAATTTGAGTTTTCTGAAAATTTCCCAAAAAATCACAAAAATCGTCTTATCTCTGTAACAAAAACGATTTGGGCATTCTTAATTGAAGGCCCTGAGATTACTCTGACAGCCCTCCAACAACATATCAGGAATTTCAAACTTTGAAAAAAAAAATTTTTTATTTTCATGGAGATTTTTTTAAAAAATCACAAAAAACGTCATATCTGGAAAACTGCAAGATTTTGAGCAGTCCTATTCAGAGGCAAGATTCGCAACCCCCTGAGAGTACCCTCAAAGATTCCAATAACAGGATTGATGTGACATCATCCCTTCATGATGTCATTCATTCTAATTAACCATCTGAACCGAATAGATTACATAATTCACCTTGATGTTAAAATAGAGCTGCATCATATATTTATTTAACTATGTAAACATTGATGGTAATTAATACCAATCATTGGAGATTTATACCGAGCTACGAATCAATTGAATAGAGATCAACTTAATAAACTATACCAATCATGCTCTTACTTGCGCCGATCGACTTGCGAAATATCAGAAGCTAGGAATCGGAACCAGCATCCTTTAAAGCAAGATAGGTCTTTACCGCTCGAGACATATCTAAATAATGAATCCAATCTAAATACAATTGATAGCCAGTAGTGCTAAATAACATTACCAATTGAACAGCTCGCATAACAGTAGACGACAGTATACCCGTATTATCCATCCGCCAGATACGGAATATTATATGGTGACTTTCGCGGGAATTTCAACTTCTGGATTCAAAACAGTCATCGGCGATTCCAAACATCATAATTTGAGCAGAAAGTGACAACACTACTTTGCTGAAGCAGAAAAAAAAAAAAACATCTTGATCAGCACAGCAATGCTCAGATGTTGGCAGCAGAGCAAAACTCAGTGAACAACTGACAGACAGGGAGAAAAAAGAAGACAACCACAACTTTTCAACATCTCCTGAGCTGACAACTTTTTCCAATCTACAAGCAGACATGTGGATTGTGACCTACAGCTTCTCTACTTCTGTCAGATGGTATGTCAAGTGAGCTACTGAAGAGGCAGAAAAGGAAGTAGATGAAAGGTTTCCAACGTCAAAACAGTTAGTTAAAAACAAACTCAAAACTCACTTGCAGTAAATTGATATTGTAACTAATAAGTTCCCCAACCAAAAAAAGCGAAGTAACGGAAATATTAGCAAACCCTGATGGAAAGAATAACCAAAATCAGAAAAGCAATAGATGCATAAAGGTTCAATAATCCAAAATAAGGAAAGTCTAGCAAAATTTTCTTGTGCCCCCCTTAAATCGACTAAGTGCTGTGCTCAATCATTAACTGTATCACAAATCTGATAATCATTCAACTGTAATAAGATGGCACACGCGCAAATTTCGGTCGCACCATACGGTGGAACGGACAAAGAAGACTTCCAGCAATTCGAGCAATTGTTCCGAGGATACATCGGAGTTGCGGGAATCGCTCCTGGTCAGCAAGCGAACTTCTTGCAACTACACCTACGAGAAGCGGCACTACGATTCTACCAAACGCTGCCAGCAGCAATTCGAGCGAACGTAGAGAATAGTCTTGGCGCCCTAAGGGATCATTTCTGCAATCCCCAGCTTCAAGAAATCCATGTACTGAAATTAGAACAGCTACGTTACGATCCTAAAATCGATTCACCCGAGAACTTCTTGGTGAACTTGACAAATAAAGCGCAACGAGCGTACCCAACCCCAGATTTGCCAGCTGTCGACCCAATCGATGTTGCATTAAACGGAGCACCATTAGTAGCAGACACAGCGCGATTTCACCGAGAAACTGCACAACGACAAGAAAGAATAGATGCAGTAAATGACAATCGCAATGAACAAATTAAACGATTGTTCATAAAAGGAATGCCAAACTGGCTGCGATCAAAATTGATGGAGCAACCACAAGCAACTACTGTCCAAGAATTGTGTAATTTGACGAAGAAGCAGATCATGATCCGAGAAGTTTGCCGAAACGAAGACTACCCAGAAGACGGATTTAATGAAGTAAACGACAGAGTCTCAGAAAATTTGATCAGTGCTCTCACAAAATTGTCCACAAATCAGGAACAAATTGAGAAGCAGATCAACGAAATGAGATCACAAATAACTGAGCAGTCAAAGAAACAATTGAATCCGCCTTCTCATCAAAACAAGAACAACGCAAACCAAAACAGTCAGTGCAGTGGTAACCAAAACCAAAATAATTGGCCTGGACAGCAGCAAAGTGGCAGGAAAGGAAAAAACAGATCTAACTGGCAAAATCATTTTGGATTTAACAATAATCAGACTAATTTCCAAAATATGG